TAGAAGTCCAAGTTCAAAGTGGCAGGCTCTAGGGGCTGGGTGAAAGCCCCTCAACCTTGGGTTTCAGCTCTGCCTCCTGCTTCTGGTCCACTAAAACTGGAGGCTTCTCTTCATTCAAGCAGCTACTAGCTGCAGAGGCTGACAAACTCAAAGTCAACAAGTAACAAGGCACAGTCTCAATATTACCAAACAACATGTCAGGCCAGAAATTTAAGTCCAGAAAAAGTCCAAAGATCAGCAGGGCATGGCAGGCTGGGGCACGACTTGGCTACATGCAGGGTCCAAGTGTGCCAAAAAGCTAGAGACCTTCCTCAAAGCTGCTTCTTATATACAGGAAGCAGACCACATCCCTAAAGCAGCTACTCAGCTGCTCCAGTAGATCCCGTGATGGAGTTAATTACCAGTCTCACAGTGGGGACTAACTACATCCAGCTGCCCAACCAAGTTGACAACAACCTTAACTACCACAGAGACTCTAAAGATTCCAAAAGAAAACTGCTGGAACTAATAGAAGAATTTAGCAACATTGGAGGGTATAAGATCAACACATAAAAATCAGTTGGATTCCTTTACAGTAACTGAGTACTCTGAAAAAGAAATCAAGGAAAAAAAAATCATTTATGATAGCCACCAAATTAATAAAATACCTGGGAAGTAACTTAACCAGGGAATTAAAAAAATATATATATACAATGAAACTATAAAATATTACTACAAGAGACTAAAAGAGACCTACAAAAAATGGAAATACATCCCATGCTTATGGACTGGAAGACTTAATATAGTGAAAATATCAGTTCTACCAAGAGCAATCTACAGATAAAATGTAATCCTGATGCAAATCCCAACAACATTCTTTACTGGAATGGAAAAATGAATGACCAACTTTATAAGGAAAGGAATGAAACCTTGAAGAGTCAAAACAATTTTGAAGAAAAAGAATATAGCAGGAAGCCTCACACTCCCTGATATCAAACATACTATACAGCCACTATCATCAGAACAGCCAAGCATTGGTTCAACAATAGACACACACCAGTGGAACAAAACTGACAACTCAGAACTAAATCCAGCCGTCTGTGGAAAACTGACTTTTGACAAGGGGTCAAAATCCATTCAGTGGGATTGAAAAGTCTCTTTAATAGATGGTGCTCACAAAACTTGATATCCACCTGCAGAAAAATGAAACAGGATTCATACCTCACACCATACACAAAAACTAATTCAAAGTGGATCAAAGGCCTACATGTTAAACCTAAAACCATGGAATTCCTGGAAGAAAACATAGGGAGAAGACTATGGAAACTAATTTTTTTTTTTTTTTGTAAAAATGGGATAACAAGTATAACAACAAATACAAGAATAGAATAAGACAAAATAGATAAATATGACCTCATAAAAATTAAAAACTTATGCTCATCTAAAGACTTTATTAAAAGAATTAGTAGACAACCTACAAACTGGGAAAAAAATCTTTGGAAACGACTTATCTGATAAGGGTTTTATCTCTAAAATCTATAGAAAATTGTAATAATTCAACAACAAAAAAAGAAACAATCCAATCACAAAATGGGCAAAGGAGACAGAGACTAGAAGAACCCCAGAAACTTTGGCCCTTAGATCTCTTCTAACTCAGAACTGAAGCCATTCCTGAAGTTCACCTTTCAGTCAAATGTTAGACAGGCCTATGGTGGCTTAGTGTCTAAGGCACTTGACTGCTAACCAGAAGGCTGGAGGTTCAAACCCACCAGCCACTCCTCGGAAGGAAGTTTGGGCAATCTATTTCCATAGTGATACTGCCTTGGAAACCTAGGGAGGGGTCGCTATGAGTCAGATCCAACTTGAAGGCAGGGTGTTGTGTTGTTGTTTGTTGTATAAAACAAACACCAATACTCGTGAGAAACGTGCTCCTTAGAACAATCAAGCATAAAAGGCCAAATTAGCAAGACTTGCCCAAAAGCAAAGATGAGAAGGCAGGAAGGGGCAGTACAACCAGATAAATGGAAATGGGGAAACTAGGATGGAAAAGGGGGAGAATGTTGACACATTGCGAGGATTGCAATCAGTGTCACAAAGCATTTTGTGTATAAATTATTGAATGGGAAACGAATATTGAATGGGCAACCAAATTATTGAATGAGAAACTAATTTCACCTAAAGCACAATAAAATATTCAGGGGAAAGAAAATGGACAAAGGACAAGAACAGAAACTTCACCAAAGAGGACATCCAAGCAGCCAACAAACACATGAAAAGTTCATGGTCATTAGCCAGTAGAGAGATGTAAATTAAAACTACAATGAGATGACCATCTTACCTTGCCTAAAATCACACTGATTGGGGAAAAAAAAAAAAACAAAAAACACAGAGATAACAACAAATGTTGGTGAAGATGTGAGGAGATTGGAACCCCTATCCATTACTGATGGGTCTGTATAATGATACAACCAGTATGGAAAATGGTATGGCACGTTCTCAAAAAACTAGAAATAGAGGTAACCTACGACCCAGAAATCCTACTTAAAGGTATATACTCTCAACCAAAAACCAAACTCACTGCCATCGAATAAGATCCAACTCATAGCAACCCCTCCTTGGATTTCTGAGGCAGTATCACTATGGGAGTAAATTGACCAACCTTCCTTCCAAGGAGTGGCTGGTGGGTAGTAGTCAAGTGTCTTAGGCACTATGCTACCAGAGTTCCCGGACATCTTGAAAGGAAGGCATTATTCTGCCCACCATAATAGGCTTCCTCTGTGTTTTCTGTATTGATGAAATGATTAATAAATAGAAAATATAAATATTGATAAATATCTGTCAGCATATTTTACACAATAATGAGCTGTGTCATGTTTTTTTTTTTTTTTACAAGATAATTTTATCTTTCTTTTGACAATGTCCCAAAAAGCATGCTTGTCATTTGGCAGTTCATACTCACCCTCCCTCCCTCTCTTTCCCTTTCTGATGCCAGTGTTCCTAATCTGGAAAAAAAGAAAGAAAGAAAGATATTGGGACAAAAGTTTCCCTTCTACCCAGAAGATATTGTTTCTGGAACTTCATCAGTAGGGATCTTATACAATATTTCTCTCTTAAGATCTTTGAGATCTTTCTCAAAGGCCTGGGGCTAAGTACAACATGTGAAAAACCTAAGATACTTAAATGAGATAGTTAGCATTATTTGCTTGCAAAAAAAAAAAAAATCTTGAAGAGATAGTTTCTGCACTTTGGATTTCTGCATCACCAAATGCAGCATGGTTTCTACCGCATGGAAATAAAAACAAAACCTCACTGGCGACAAGTCTATTCAATTCATAGTGACCCCTCCTTGGGTTTCGAGGTGGTATCTCTACGGAAGTAGATTGCCCAAGCCTACCACTTGATGTAGTCAGTAAAGATTTTTGATTAATGAAAGGAAGGAAAGAAAGAAGGGAGGCAGGGAGGAAAGAAGAAAGGGAGGAAGGAAGGGAGAATTTAAGGAGGGAAGGAAAGAAGGGAGGGAGGGAGGGACCACACAAATGAGTAATCATTAGCTACAGGACTAAGTAAACATTTGTCTTTGCAACTCCTATTTCACCAAGTCTAAGGCAAAAATAAGAGAATTTTACCAAAATTATGTAGTTGGCAATTGTAGCTATGGAAATTGACTGTACCCATGTGGACTGTTCTTTGGGATCTTTCAAGAAAGAGTTAGAGATTTCTTAGAGCAATTCCTAAGGCTTATTGCAAATACAAAATTCAATCCTATAAATCTCAGAGACTTTTTCACACTGTCTACGGACTCATTATGTCCAGTGTTCCATGATTCTGACCAAAGTCATAATGGTTATTCGGGCAGGCTTTCGTTTAAATGCCTTGCAAGCAGTGTTTGAAGACCAGATAGTTATTCGCCTGCCTTTAACACACTAAGAGCATTGATTAAAAGTGACCAGACACATCTAAGGAAACAGAGAGACATATTTTATGGGATTTATCCCCCAAGATGATACAAATAAGAAAGGAAAAAGAAAAAAAAAAAAAAAGAACCGAAGTGATAAAAATAATTTCTCATAGGCTGTATGGCTATGGTGTTGAAGGCAGTGAGGCTTTGTGAAAAGAATTTGAATAGACAGATGTAAGTTTGAAAGCATAGTGCCTTAGGCACTTGACTGCTAACCAGAAGGCTTGTGGTTCAAACCCACCAGCCACTCCTTGGAAGGAAGGTTGGGCAATCCTACTTCTGTAGTGATACCCCCTTAGAAACCCAAGGAGGGGTTGGTATGAGTCGGGGCTGACTCGAGGGCACATTACAACAACAACAACATAGATCACCATGAGTCTGATAGACTCAATAGCAACTAACAATAGTAACAACCACAGGTTTGAATACTGCTACAGGTATTTACTGAATGCTGGTGGCAAAGTGCCTAAGGCATTTGACTGCTAACCAGAAGGCTGACGGTTCAAACCCACTAGCAATGTGAGCTTGGATGACAAAAACACTAACAGTAGTAATGATAATCACACTTACACAGCACTTGAGTCAGTGCTGTTCTATTTACTCATTAAATCCCCAACAGCCCTATGGGGTAGGTATGTTCCTCTATATTATAGGTGAGTAAGTAGAAACAGGGAGGTTAGGTAATTGCAGAACCCACCAAACCCACATTTCTCCTGAGTCTTGGTGAGAGAAGTCCCAGCTTCTGTCTGGCCATTTCACCTCTGGGTTATCAGACACTTTCCTTCTCTACACTCCCCACCCTTGCTTGCCCAAGGAGATTGTTTCCAAACAATCTCCTCTCAAAGTGCTTTCAGAAAGACAATGCTAATCTCTTTTGTGGGGAAGTGGGGAAGAGGGTTAAGCTGCTAATGCCATTTCCAACAGACCCTGATATGTCAGGACTAATCAAGATAGAGCACTAAAGGCCCAGTAAATTGTCCAGCACACAGTAGGTGCTCATGCCAGGCTAGTCCCCCTCATTGATAACCATGTGACCATGGGTGGTACCCTTTCTCCATCCCAGGGAGGTGTATAAACCGCAGACTTCTTTGCAATGGGGACAATGATTGTGGAGACCAATCAGATGAGGCAAACTGTAGAAGAATTTATAAAAAATGTCAGCATGAAATGGACCGATACTGGGCAATTGACAGCCTGGCCAGTGGGTAAGTGCCTGAGCCTGACTTCCTGTTGTGTAGATGAGAAGATACTAAATTAAATGTGATTTGGAGGACTAGAGAAGGAGGGAACAGATAATAACAGAGCTCCTTTCTTTCATTTCTGAAAAATAAATAAAAGGATAGCATGTAAGTGGATGCTTTGGGATGCTCTTGAGGACAGTCCTGATGAGTTCTGGGAGTACATCCAGTGGGCAGACATGAGCCACACAGAAGGGTAATATAGGGACACTAGATTCAGAGGCATTATTGTACACTGCTCTCTAAGCAGTGGGGTGCTAAAAGATAGCTGAGTTGAACCTTAACATTCATAGCTTCTGTATGATTGTGAAGGAGTTCTGGTTGCTCAGTGGTTAAGGCATTTTGCTGTTAACCAAAAGATCAGGAGTTCAAACCCACTAGCCACCCCATTGGAGAAAGATGAGGCAGTATGCTTCCATAAAGATTTACAACTTTGAAACTCTATGAGGCAGTTATCCTCTGTCCTATAGGGTTGCTAGGAATCAGAATCAACTCAGTGACAGTGGATAGGTTATATGACTGTGTTGAGCAAATAGTTAACACATGTGGCTGCTAATGAAAGATTGGCAATTCAAATCCACCCAGAGGCACTTCAGAAGAAAGGTCTAGCCATTGAAACCCAGGGCACAGCTCTATTTTGACACACATGGGATCATCGTGGGTCAGGGTTGACTCAACAGCAACTGGTTATGTGACTGTGTTAGGTGCTTCCTAAGCATTATCATTTGTATCCTATTAAAAACTTGGGGGGTAGGGTTCATTTATTTCTGTATCTCTAGGCCCCAGCATAGGTCCTGGCCTAGAGGAGAAGCTCATAAATGATTAATAAAGGAATGGATTTCCAAGATGAGACTGGAATCAATCTGTGTTTCTAAGAAGACTCTGAGGTCAGAATGGGCCACCTCTTCCCACTCTGGGTCCTGCCACCTCCATCCTATCTTGCGGCCAAATTCTGCAGCTTCTCACACTCTGGCTGGAAGAGAGAGATCATTCCCTCATAAGTTTTAAGAATCCACTCTATGGGGGGGAGGGCTACTGGGCAGGGAGGGGAGGAGACTGGGTTAGGGTTGGGCATGGTAAATGGGGAAAAATAAAATTAAAAAAAAGAATCCACTCTATGTGATACAATATGCAGAGAGGAATAAAGACATGAGTGGAATTCACTCTCTTCCTAAACAAAACTAATCTTGATCCTTAAAGGCTGTCATTAGAGAGAGAAGCTTCAAGTGGGACCTCCTCTTACTACCATGTTATATGCTAGTTATTGTAATACTACCTCCCAGAGAAGGAAATTGAAGCCCAGAAAAGTTAAGTGAGTATCCAGTGGTCACTCAGCTAGATGAGAGAGCAGCAGGTCAAACCAGGTAGTAGAATCTGACTGGAACATGTACGTGGGGTCAGAAGGAGCAAAGTCACTGGCCAGGAGACCACAGATGAGGCACGTATCTATGTGGAGCTTTAGTTTTGTCACCTGGAGAAGGAAACCAGTAATACCTTTCTTTCAAAGTTCTGTATTAAACTAGTAAGTGAGAGACAGCTTGTGTAGAAAGAATGAAGACTCTGGAACCAGATCACCAGACTTCAAATCCTGGCCCCACTAATTGCTTCTAGCAGTGAAGCCATGGCCAAGTCAACTGACCTCCCTATGCCTCAGTTTCTGCATCTGTAAAATGGGGATAATAATAATACCTATCTCCTAAGGCATCTACCAGTACCAACAGTTGCTGTTGAGTCAATACTGACATGGCAACACCATGTGTGCAGAGTGGAAGTGCACAATAGGGTCTTCAAGGCTGTGACCTTTTGGAAGCAGATCACCAGGCTTGCTATCCAAGGTGCCTCTGAGTGGATTCAAACTGCCAATGCTTAGGTTAAAAGTTGAGTGCTTAACCATTTGTATCACCGGGGGACTCCCCACAAGTTTGCTAGTAGGATTAAATGAATTAGTAGGGATAAATTGCTTAGTGTGGTACCTCGATACAGTAAGCACAGTGCTATATTTGTTAAATAAAAAAAAGTAAATGTATATTATTATGATATATTTAAAAATCTATAATGGAAAAGAGGGCCTCAGACAGTTCTGGTTAAGAACAGAAGCAAGGTTAATGCACAGAAGCTAAAAGGAGAGAGAGCTCTATTTAATACACGAAGAATTTTCAATGGAGAGAATGAGTCAAGAATAGAGGAGTGCCTCAGGAAGCAATGAGAGGTAATGTTTAAGTAGAAGCTGAATTTCCCTCCCCTCTACTATGGACATAATGGTGCCTATAGGCCAGAGCTGCAGGGACACTAAGTAAGATGAGACATGGAATGCATGCACTATAGTGTCTGTCACCATTTACACCCTCAGTAAGCAGTCATTAGTTTGACTATCTCTTGTGATGGGGGTGATGTACAGAAATTGAGAAGAAAGCTACCATCTTCAAGGAGCACACAGTCTAGAAAGGGCAACAAATGTATATGATAACAAACACCGATCACATGCTAAGCAGTGTTTTAATCACTTAACAAATACTGACACATGTCATCCTCACAGCAACCCAAAGAGGGAAGTATTTTCATAGCACCCATTTTATAGATGAGGAGATTGAGGCACAGAGAGGCTAACTGATCTGCTCAAGATCACATAGCTAGTAAGTGACAGAATAGGGATTTGAACCCAGGCATCTGGCTGTTAACTATCATGCTATTCCACTCTCATAATAATGCAGTGCAATCAGTGCATGAAGGGTAAGCAAGCACAGTGGGCCTCGAACCCAATGTGGGTGGGGATTACGGGGATAAGAGATGTCAGTGAAGCCTCCTCACAACTTCTCACAATAGCAAAGGCACAGTCTTGAAAGACAAACAGGAGATGAAACTATGAAAAGTAGAAAGGTCATTCTGAGCATAGGGAACAACACTTGCGCATAGGAGAAGGAGCAAAGCAGATCTGAGGAAGAGCAAGCTTCTTCAAATGGCTGAGAACCAAGCTATCTGATTGTAGTTGGGGATGACCAGGAAAGCTGGGTTGGGACCAGATTTTGAAGCCCTTGAATACTGTGCCCAGGAGTTTTGGTTTCATTCAGTATCGCCTACCATCTAAGATTAGGCAGTCTGCAAACCTAACCTCTTCACCCTCTCTGTGCCTTCTCTGCAGGTTAAATTTATTTACAAACAGTTTGGAGGGCCCGGTTCTAGATCACAGGTATTACTCTGGTGGATGCTTCCCCCATTATATCCTCAATACACGGTTTAGGAAGCCATACAATGTGGAAAGCTACACCCCAAAGGTAAGCATCAGCCAGGAAGCAATTGCAGGACCAAGGAGGGAGCATTGGGCAAGAAAGTCAACTAATGTGGATTCAGGGCTGGACCCTACATTCTGTGGGCTGTGTGACTTGAGATGCATCACTTTTTATCTTTGAGCTTCAAGTTCTTCACAAGTAAAATGGACAATCCCTTCCAGAAGACACTGTGGTGTTTTTGTTAGGTGCCGTCGAGTCAGCTCCAACTCATCAGGACCCTGTGCACAACAGAACAAAACACTGCCCAGTCCTGTGCCAACCTCACATCATTGCCATGCTTGACCCCACTGTCACAGCCACTGTATCAATCCATCTTGTTGAGGGTCTTCCCATTTTTCACAGACCCTCTACTTTACCAGGCATGGTGTTCTTCTCCAGGGACTGGTCCTTTTTGATAACATGACCAAAGTAGGTGAGATGAAATCAGACAATTCTCACTTCTAAGGAGCATTCTGGCTGCACTTTGTAAAGGGCAGATTATCAGTTTGTCATATTGTGGTGGCTTGCATGTTGCTGTGAGGCTGGAGGCTGTGCTACTGGTATTTCACATACCATCAGAGTCAACTGTGGTGGACAGGTTTCAGCAGAGCTTCCAGACTAAGACAGATTGGGAAGAATGGAGCCATCTACTTCTGAAAGAATGGGCCACAGAAAAATTTATGAATAGCAGTGAAATAAGACATTGTGGTGCTATATATACTAACAGTGGTAGTATACTATAATAGTATACTATGGTAGAAGTTGTAGTTGCAGTAACAATAACAGTAACAATAATATAATAATGATATCAATAGCTACCATGGGGATAAAAGCATAGTTTAGGATTTGGAGTCACACAAACTCAGTGCCATCTGCCATTTATCATCTGTATAATCTTCAATGTTCTGAGCCTGTTTCTTTATAATTGGGAGTTATGAAAGTTCTACTCTGCAGGGTGAGGACTAGTGAGATGATAGTGTGTAAGTGCTTAGCACAGAACCTGGTGAGTTCTCAAGAAATGTCAACTTGTTATTTATTAGTAGTATTATTACCAAGTTCTTGCCTATTAGAACCAGGCATTTTTTAGCATTTTAAACTACACAATGTTTTTCTGATATATATCTGTATTATGATTAACATACCAACGTCAAAACAAATCTCACAGAGAGGTGAGTTTAGAATAGATTATATTATTGTACAGCATACTCACTTGAGATCTGATGGGAAGAATGCAAAATCAAGATCTGCCACAGATCACAGTTATTGTCTAAGTTTCTTTTCTACTTAAGCCTCAATTTCTCCATCTGTGTAGTGAGGGGGTTGGATGAGGGGATCTTGATGGCAGTTCCCACACCTAAAATTCCATATTTTCGGAGGTTAGGTCCTCCCACCTTCAATACGTACTTATCAGACAAAAAGAAGAAATAAGCTCAGGGCCAAACCTAGTTGTTGGCAAAAGGAAGATCCCTAAATCTCTCATGCTTCTACCTAGTGTCCAATGCTATCCCCATAGCCTCTCCTTTCAGGGGAGGTCTCAGAGCAGCCATTCATCATTCAAGTTAAAACAGCTCCTAATGCAGGCAGGATACATATCTTAAGTCTCTCTCCACAGCCTGTAATTTTTGAGCACTTACCTTGTGCCACGGAAGCCATAGTGGTGCAATAGTTAACTATTTGACTATTAATCAGAAGATTGCTGTTTTGAACTTACCTAGTGACTCTGCAGGAGGAAAACCTAGCAATCTAAATATTACAGCAGAGAATACCCTGTGGGGGCAGTTGTATTTGCACACATGGGTCACCATGAGTCGGAATCTACCCGATGGCACCCAACAACAAAACCCTGTGCCAGGCACTGTGCCTGTGCCTGTATTCCTGTATTAACTCAATTCTCAGACAGTCTAATGATAGAAAACATTATCTTCTTCATTTCATACATGAAGAAACTGAGGGATGTGCAGGTTAAGTCAATCACTCAAGGTTATCCCACAAGAAAATGCAGTGTCACTGTCAAGCTTCAGCAGCACTGCCATTGCCCTTGACCAGACCCTCTTTACCTATTACCTGCACTCCCTTTACAGCCTCTTCATTGGCCTCTCTGACCCTGAATTCATTCATCACTTGCAGTCCAACCACCACACTACCTACCCTACAGTGATCTTCCTAAGGCTCAACCACTTCCTCTCATGGATCATCTTTGCCTACAGCATTTGGTCCATATTCCAGAGCAAGGAATTTCAGAGCCTCAACATTCTGATGCAGTACATTCTCCTACAGCACATCTCCCTTCCCCTCACTTTCACATTTTGTGATTCAACCACCCTTGAATCCTTGTTGTTCCTGGAATCCATCCTATCCTTTCCTACCTCCATGTCTTTGTTTAAGGTGAGCTCACAGAGAACATTCTCCTGTGCCTCTACCAGTTAAAATCCAAACCAGTTAACATCATCTGAGTCTAAACCAAACAATATTGAATATAATATTGAATATGTCTATTTCTGGATCAGCATTCCAGGGTAGTATAGTTAATGTGTTTGGCTGCTAACTGAGAGGTTGGATGTGTGAAGTCACCCAGAAGTGCCCCAGCCTCAAAAACCTAAGGAGAGGTCACTATGAGTCAGGTCCAATTCAACGGCACATAACAACAATGACAACAACAGAAGCACCTTGAAAGAAAGGCCTGTCAATCTACTTCTGAAAGATTAGCCATTGAAAAGCCTACAGGGCACAGTTCAGGTGACACCTGGTTTTTCCTCCTATTAGATCAAGAGGGAGCCCCAGAGAAAGGGGAGCAAATGGGACTTTATTTATCTGTATCCAGAACACCTAGACCAGTGTCTGACACAGAGTAAGAGTACAAAGGATGTCTGTTGACTTGCACTGAACTGACATGAGTCAACTGAAATGAGAAATATTTTATTTTTTGTTCCTTTAGACCCAAGGCAAATACGAATTTGCAGTGACAGAATATGAATCGTATAAAGATTTTGAACGTAATATCACAGGGATAACAATTGCCGAGTCTAGTTTCAGCTTTGGTTTTAAAATACCTGTATTTTTTGAACTTCGCTATGACACGACAAGTTCTAATGGTGAACAGTTTATTCGCAGAACCAAACGATTCGCTCACACAGTAAGTATGCTTTTATATTTACATGCATTTACTTAAAATTTCATTCCTACAGATATGTCTGTATTCTACATTACCACTAACAACCCATTATATTTATGTTGTCTTGAAAATCTTTTTTAAAAAAATGGCTTGGTTGTACATGTAACTTTTAGAGAGTCTAAGTGACTATGACCTTCTATAATTACTTTCTCTCATTTCCTAATAAGCTGTTTTCCTTTGTTTTTCATTAAGCTTAAGTTATAGCTTTGCCAAACTAAAACATCTCTGGAGACTTCTAAGCCCACAGCACTCTCACTTCTGTTCCAGACATTGGGCTGATATTTCTCTCTGAAACATCACCGAGGACCTCTTCTCTAACTGCTTATGGCATTTGGTGGAATTGACCATACCCTGCTCTCCTATTGCTCTTACTTCCCTTCTGCTCCTTATCAGTTTCCTTTTTGAGTTCTAGAATCCCTAGCTGTTCTTCAAGTATTTAGTTTCTGGCTCTCTTCTCTTCTTACTCTGTACTTGGCTCTGGGTGACCTTTTCTACTTACCTTCCAGCTCTACGGGCATGAGCCCCAAACCTTCATCACTGATTTTAACCTTTCTCTCAAGCCCTATACCTACCTGCACTGCCCACTCTTCTTGACACAATCACCTGGATGCCTTGCTGACACTCCAAAGCAAGTTCTTCCTCTTACAGTTTCTGTATTAATAGCATTTTCCCTCTTCTTTCCCAAGCTAAGAACCACAGAATTTTATTTGGCTTGTACTTCTGCTTCATTTCTACATTTGTTGGTCACCAAATCCTTCAGTTATTACCCTCCAATATTTTAAAATCTAGCTTCTCTTACGTTTGTAACCAACTCAAGGCTCTTTCACTCTTGCTTTGCTCTTCTGAACAGTTCTTCTGTCTCCCAACTTCACCCTTCCAATCCATCTGCTGCCACCTTCAACAAACTAATCAGATCATCTGCTCCATATCACCTACAAGGTTAAGGTCAAGCCTTTTGGTTGGGTAGAAGAAGAATAACTAGAGTGGGAAGTTGTGGGATATATTGTTGGAGAAGCATGTTACAGGTATATTTGAGGAGCTTTGGGTTCTAGAATGAGGAAGATATACTTCATTCTCTAGCCACTAAGAGTTTTCACTGTGTCATACAATGGGAAGTTAACCAGAGGGGACCTTTGAAGACAACGACTGGAGTCTATAATAACTCATATGAGAAAACAGAATGGTGGAATCTCAGAAGGTCTCTGCTGCCAAAACCTTAGCCAGCAGGAGTTGGGTAGTGAAAAATTAGATTGTAATTGTCTTTGCTTGTCTTTCTTTATTTTCTATATTGTGAGCTCCTTCAGGGAAGAGGCTGTTTCTTCTGTCTCTAGACTCAGAACGGCAGTTAGGAGGGGCCCAAGACTGATAAACAGTGTTGAAGGATAGGACTGATTAGAATAAAAATAAAGGGTGCCATCCATTTTTTTTTCTGTCTCTCCCACTCTCTCCTCCTTTCCCAATTCCCTGATTCAAATGGACAGTTATAGGGTACTTATGCTGTGCTTGGCATTACACTAGGAACTTGTAATCTAAAGACAAATAAATATAATCTTTTCCTTCAAGCTTTCAATCTAGTGTTGTTGTTGTTGTTGTTATGTGCCGTCGAGTCAGACCTGCCTCATAGCAACCCCTCCTTGGGTTTCTAAGGCAGTATCCCTATGGGAGTAGATTGCCCCATCTTCCTTCCAAGGAGTGGCTGGTGGGTTTGAACTGCCAGCCTTCTGGTTAGCAGTCAAGTGCCTTAAGCACTATGCTACCAGAGCTCCCTCAGTCTAGTAGGAGAGGTAAATATGTAAGCAGATGATTTGCTGTTAATTTTTCTTTTTCTTTTTTGCATCAGTTGTGACATAGTATGGTTGTATAAACTATAAAGGAAATATAAGTAAAGTGCAGGGCAATCCTTGAGAAGGCAATGTGTGTCTGGGGAAATCAAACATGATATCAAATAGAAATGGGGACATCGGTGGTTCTGTGGTAGAATTATTGCCTTCCATGAGAGAGTCCCAGGTTCAATTCCCAACCAAAGCACTTTAAGCATAGTCAACATTTGTCTGTCAGTGGAGGACTGAGTATTGCTATGATACTGAACAGTTTCAGTGAAGCTTCCAGACTAAGATGGGCTAGGAAGGAAGACTTGATAATCTACTTGTGAAAATCAGCCAGTGAAAATTCTATGGATCACAATGGTCCATTCCACAACCAATCAATGGGATGGCAAAGGACCAGGCAGCATTTTGTTCTGTTGTGCAGGGTCACTACCATTAGTCAGGGACTGACTCAATGGTAGCTAACAACAACAATTAAATAGGAGGCAACAATTGAGCAGAGCTTTGAAAGATAAGTCAGTGTGTGTTAGGCAGAAAAGAGAGGGAAGAGCATTTCAGGTAGAAGGAACAGCATGTGCAAAATATCATGGGAAATAAAGGCAGGTTTGGGAAACAGTGATAAATTTAGTTAATGCTGACATATGGGGTGGGTGGTGGAAAATTGCAAAATATGCGGTGGGGCTAGAATTCAAGGCTGTAGAAGTTGAAGTCAGAGAGGCTACCAAGGGACATATTATGAAGGTCTTACATTCAGAGTAAGGGAGATGATTTTAATCTGGAGGTAATAGAGAGCCAAAGAGTGGTTTTATTATAAGCCCAGAAGTGCATTATTATAAGGTTTTAGTCACATCTGATAGGAGCATTGAAAACAGGCTAGAGAAAGAAGGGGAATCAGAGAGGAAGTTTTATAACAACCCAAGATTATGGTGATAAGACTTGAAATATTTGGATAAATAATGAACAGAGAACCTAGTGGCTGGTTATGTAGGAGGGATATCGAGAAGGAAGAGTCATAACTTGTCAGGGCAGGACTGAAATGGAATAAGGGAAAAACATGGAACAAAGTGAGCAGGCCTTGGTTACTGTCACAATTCAAACTGGCATGCCTTATTGACTATCAGCCAAGTGATATGTCAGCCTGGCTGAGAATTTAAGGATTGGGACAGAATATATCTTATAGATATCTTACACCCTTTTTCCTTTTTCTTTGCCTGTACCCTTGTATAGGAATTGACCATCACAGGTTATGTTCATACCCACCTACTCCCAGTTGTAGTCCCTGGGTGGTACAAACAGTTAACACACTACCACTAACTGAGAAGTTGGAGATTTGAGTCTACACAGAGGCGACTTGGAAGATAGGTTTAGTAATCCCCTTCCAAAAAGTCAGCCATTGGAAATCCTACAAAGGCAGTTCCACACTGACACACAGGCAGTCTCTATGAATTGGAATTGACTCAACAGCACTGGTGGTGGTGGTAGACCTACCAGTTGCATTGAGTCAATTTCAACTCATAGTGACTCCATGGGTGTCAGAGTCTGTGTTCTATAAGGTTTCCAATGTCAGGATTCTCTACCAAAATGTCTTGGGATGGACTCGAACTTCCAGTCTTTCAGTCAGCAGCTGAATTTCACTTTTTTTCACCACATCAAAGATTCTGCTTCTAGATATGGCTGGCATCTGTCTCTCTCCCAACCCCATAGCACCTTCCTATAGAATCAAAGCTTCTTTTCAAATTTACAATCCCTGACAGAGATAGTATACCCAGTAAGCAAGGTAAGTACAGCTTACTTGTGTTTACTCACTAATCTGTAATTAACAATTCACATGGGTTTCACTACATCTACTTGGGTTTACTTACTAATCTGTAGTTAACAGTGTCACATGTGAAATTATTCACTAAAGATCAGTAAGGAAGCATAAGTAAGCCCATGTTTACCTTGCTTATTGGGTAATCCACCCCTGAGTCTATCCCATACACCTAGAATCACCAAACTTTTCTGTAAATATTAATTAGTGGTAAATGGTAAATATTTTAGCCTTTGTGGAACCTTGGGGTCCCTCTTACAACTACTTAACTCTTATTTTAATATGAAAGCAGCTATAGGAGCTCTGGTGGCATAGTGCCTAAGGCATTTGACTGCTAACCAGAAGGCTGGCAGTTCAAACCCACCAGCCACTCCTTGGAAGCAAGATTGGGCAATCTACTTCCATAGTGATATTACCTCAGAAACCCAAGGAGGAGTCGCTATGAGTCAGATCCAGCTCCACAGCAGTGAGTTTTTCATGGACAATATGTAAATGAATAGACGTGTCTATGTTTCAATAACTTTTTTTTTTTTTTTTTTTCTTAGCAGAAACATGCCTTGCATCTAGTCTGTGGGCTATAGTTCGCTGATTCTTGCCACATACATGATAACATCTAGCCTCCCTAAAGTACTTCTTTTATGCTTCTTGAATGGCTTTTCTTCAAGGGCATAAGCAGAGGTTGCCTTTGTAGACCAGCACACCCTAGACAAATGGCTCCTTGGTGGCATCTCATTAGACAACCTCATGTGCTTCTGCCACTCTCTGCCATGTCTGTTTCTGGTTACCCTTCACGTGTCTTATTCATTACAGTATGGAGGTGAGTTAAGAGCAAACTCTTCCAAGCTGAAAAGGACATTGGAATATTTATGAGAAATGAAAGCTTATCAAAGAGACCCTGTTCCCTGTGTATCCTAAAGGAATCATAAGAGTGATGACCCCAGGCCAAGAACATCAGATGGTATTTGTAAAGTTCATCTCCTTGTTCCAGATTCCTAACTTTAAAGGTCTGGTTTTCCCATGTTGGTATTTCATTTAGAAAAGCACATTTCTGCATGCGCGCTCTGACCTTGAAGTTGCACATTACAAGCTGAAGCCCAGAAGCCTCATGCTCCATTACGAATTCCTTCAGAGAGTTAAGCGGCTGCCCCTGGAGTACAGCTACGGGGAGTACAGAGACCTCTTCCGTGATTATGGGACCCATTACATCACAGAGGCTGTGCTCAGAGGCATTTATGAGTATGCCCTCATTTTGAACCAGGAGGCCATGGAGAGAGCAGGTATGCTTCCCAGGGGACCCTGGCTTTCTTGGTGGGGCACAAGCAAACTATGAGTCGATAAGAGAGCTTTCCATGAGTTGGAGGGGAAGAATCATAGGCTGTCCTAATTTACCCTCAGCCACCTGGCTACACCTTCACAATTTCATCTGCAGATTTCCTCCTACTCTTCTTGACAGACAGTGTCTGTGTTGCATTCTCTCCTCTACAATTGCTTTCTCTGTCTAGAAGTCCTCATCCAGTGTCATGGCTTTAAATACCATCCACATCCAGATAAATCCCAATCTGTTCATTGATCCATGTCTTCATTTTCCAGTGCAGCTATAAGAGAAATACCACAACTGGATGGCTTTAATGAACAGAAATTGATATCGTTACAGTTTAGAGGTTAGACGTCCTGATTCAGGGAACTGGCTCTCTCTCTGTCCACTCCAGGGGGAGTGTTCCTCAGTTGCTTGGTGGTCTCCACTTGGCTTCTATCTTTCCTTCATTTGTGCTCATTGCTTCTGTACCTAATTCACTCTTTTTAGATTTCAAAAGTGGTTAGCTTTAAGATATGCCCTACACTGATAACAGCCTCATTAACACAACAAAGAAAACCCTATTTCCAAATGAGGTTACATTCATAGGTGTAGGGGTGAGGATTTGCAACACACATTTTTGAGGGACACAATTCAATCCTTAACAGTTCTGGATCTCTTTCCTGCACTCAGAAGCGTCTTTGATGTCTCCATTTGAATGTCTAACAATCATCACAAACTCAACATGCTCTAAAGTGAACACTGGACTTTCCTTCTCAAAATGTTTCTTCCATAGTCATCCACATCTCAGAAATGGTTCTACCATCCAACCATTTGTCTCAAACCAAAAATCTAGGAATCAACTTTGATTATTTTTCCTTCCTTCCAACCTATCAGCAAGGACCATCAGCTCTACCTTCAAATTATATTTTCTTTTCATCTTTACTGACCACCTTAGGCTCACTCTGAGACCAGTGCTTCTCAAACTTTAAGGTGCATACACATTACCTGAGAATCTTGTTAAGAGGTAGATTCTGACTCAATATGTTTGGGATGGGAACCAAGGTAGTGCATTTTTAACAAGCTTTGTGGGGATGTTGATGCTGCTACGTCAACATGTTTGATGGTCTACAAACTACACTTTAAGTAGTAAGATTCAAAATTACTAATAACCTCCTAACAAATATTCAACTTCTATTCCTCCCCTACAATCCCTTTTACACACACACATCAAACAGTGGTATTTCCTCACAGTAAAATCAAATAATTTCACACCCAGGTCTTTCCAGTTATAATGAACTACGAGTATAACGTGTGATTCCTGTTTATCAATCTAGTATTCTTTCCTACAAGGAACACCAGTGGCACAGTGGTTAAGCACTCTATGCTAACCAAAAGGTCAGTGATTTGAACCCACCAACCACTGCATGGGACAAAGATGTGGCAGTCTGCTTCTGTAAAGATTTATAGCCTTGGAAACCCAGTTCTCTGTCATGTAGGGTTGCTCTGAGTTGGAATTGACTCCACAGCAGCAGATTTGCTTTTTTTTATTCTTCCTACAACATGTTTCTTTTGGGGTTAGGTGAACTTCCCTGGGTCACACACTCTGCAGAAGCAGTGCCAGGGCTTGGTTTCAAGTATATTTGCAGGGGAAACAAAACCCAAAAAACAAAACCCATTATTGTCAAGGCAATGCCAACTCATGGCCACCTCATGTGTTGCAGAGTAGAAGTGCTCCATAGGGTTTTCTTAGCTCTATGGAGGCAGATTGCTAGGTCTTTCTTCTTCAGTGTCACTGGGTAGATTCAAACTATCAACCTTTAAGTTAGAATCCAAGTACAAACTGTGTTCACCCTGGGGCCTTGTAAGGAAACACATGGTGTATAATGGAAATGGGTGTCAGTGTGACCTTAGTCTTGACAAATCAGAAATACCACTATTTTCAAACATGCATTTTCTGGTTCCTCAAACCATTTTTCTACAAAAATGGCTCTGTGCTGTTGCATTGGGATAAATTGTAGTCAATGCATGAGACAATATGTGTGTGAACTGCTGTATGGAAAGTGAATTTTCTCTATAATCTTTCACCCAAATCACAATTTTTTAAAAATGAGAATAATGAAAGTGCTAAAAAAAAAAAATAATAATAATGGCTCTGTGGTCAACTAAGTTTGGGACATGTTGCATAATATCCCACTCTTGGAGTTTCACAATGCACATGGCAATTAAGTGACTTCTTCAACCTTTTTGATTGCACGTTTGTCGGATAGGGTTTTCTTGGCTATAATCTTGGGAAAAGCAGATCTTTTATCTGCAGAACTACTGACTAGGTTTAAACAGTCAGCCTTTCAGTTAGCAGCCAAGTGCTTGATTATTTGCACCACCAGGGCTCTTTCATTTGACAACAGAAGCCCTTTTTCTTGTGATACCTGCTAATGGCTCCCAGAGTTAGTGTTTCAAGGAATATGTTTTGATCCATGTCAGCATTGCAAGACAACTGCCATACTCAAGGTTGCTCTTGTATGCCTGCAGTGGCCTTATAGTGCTGCTCTACTGAAAGACACTCACAAGTCACATTTGAAATTTTAGCAGGAACAGGAGAGGACAATGCTGCAGGGAGAATTAGGGAGGGAGGAAATGGGAAGTGGTTCAAAATGGAAGAGGAAATGAGGGGAATTAGTATGTATCAGTCCCTACCTTTTTGTCAGGCAATCTATTCCAGAGACTTTATGTATATTCCCTCAATTAATCAAGGAATCCCTGGGTGGTACAAACTGTTAAGCACTCCACTACTACGTGAAAAGTTTGGCAGTTTGAACCTACTCAGAGGCATCTTGGAAGATAAGCCTGGTAGTCAGCTTTTAAAAGGTCACAATCTTGAAAACCCTATGGAGCAGCTCTACTCTGCACACCTGAGTTGCCATGAGTAGCAATGAACTTGATGGCAACTAAAAACAACCGCCACCTCAATCAATTTATTAACAAGTTCTTTCCACTACATCAAAGATTAGAGGAGCTGGGTCAGAGGAAGAGAATTTCAACAGCCTCTATATTCACTGGATCCAAATTTAGAGACTTATAAGGACTCACATTTATAGAAAATGACTCTGGGCACATCTCCTATTCAGAAGATAGCAAAAAATGCTCAGAGGGGCCTGGAAAGGGAGACCAACCCCAATCTCATGTGAAGTCTCTGCCCTGGTGCCAGTAGTTGCTGTCTTAGGTTCCTCTAGAGAAACAGCACCAGTGAGAAATAAATAAATAAATCTGGAGAGAGAGAGAGATTAAGATTGGTTGATTTATTTTAAGGGATTGGCTCACACAATTGTCATTTGGCTACTAACCAAAAGGTCGGTGGTTCGAACCCACCAGCTGCTCCATGGCAGAAAGATGAAGCAGTCTGCTTCTGTAAAGATTTACAGCTTTGGAAATCCAATGGGACTTGCTATGAATTGGAATCAATTCGTTGGCAGTGAGTTTGGTTTGATTTTGGTTGGCAAGCCCAAAATCTGTAGGCCTGGTGACAAGATGGAGATGCTTGCAGGCTTGTGTCCCCAAATCCATAAGTCTAATGATAGGAAAAGTGAAACATGAGGAAGTTGTAGAAAAATGTCTATTTATAGTCTGGAAGCAGAACATACCCTTTTTGTTAAGGTCTTCAACTGATTAGTTGAGGCCCACCTCCGTGATGGAAGGCAATCTGCTTTACTTAAGGCCAATTGATTTAATCACATATCAATACTTCATAGGAGTCCCTGGGCAGTACAGATGGTTAAACCTTAGAACAAAGGCCTTGTGATATAATTCCAAAAAACTGTTGTTGTTGTTAGGTGCCGTCGAATCAACTCTGACTCATAACAACCCTATGGACAACAGAAAATGAAACACTGCCCAATTCTATGCCATTCTAACAATCCTTGCTATACTTGACCCATCATTGCAGCCATTGTGTCAATCCATCTCATTGAGGGTCTTCCCTTTTTTCACTGACCCTCCGCTTTACCAAGCATGATATCCTCCAGAGAATGGCCCCTCCTGACAACATGATCAAAGTGAGAGGAAGTCTGGCCATTCTCACTTCCTAGGAGCGTTCCAACTGCACTTCCTCCGGGACAGATCTGTTAGTTCTTCTGGCAGTCCCAGGTACTTTCAGTATTCTTCGCCAACACCACAATTCAAAGGCATCAGTTCTTTTTTAATCTTCCTTATTCATTGTCCAGCTTTCAAATGCATATGAGATGATTGAAAATACCATAGCTTGGATTAGGTGCACCCTAGTTTTCAAAGAGACATCTTTGTTCTTCAGCACTTTAAAGAGATCTTTTGCAGCAGATCTGCCCAGTGCAATATGACATCTGATTTCTTGACTGCTGCTTCCATTGGTGTTGATTGTAGATCCAAGTAATATGAAATATATGAGCCACTAAAAACCTTATGGAACAGTGTGCTTCATATGGGGTCTCCCTGAGTCAGAATGGGCTAGATGGTGGCAGGAATTTTTTAAAAACTACTTTATAACAGCAATTAGGCTTGTGTTAGATCAAACAACTGGGCACTTTAGCCTACCCAAGTTAACACATACAATTAACCATTACACCTGCGTACAATAAATGGGATTGATAACACATTTATTTGACCCTGAGTCCCTTTGGGGCCCTTTGGCAGCCAGGAAGGACTAGGCCTCTGGAATCCATCACAGAAAAACCCTTGCCATCAAGTTGGTTCCAACTCATAGTGGCTCTATAAGGACAAAATAGAAGTGCCCTACAGGGTTTCCAAGGCTATGATCCTTATGAAAGCAGGCTGCCACATTTTCCTCCCACGGAATACCTGGTAGGTTCAAACCACTGACCTGATGGCTGGAATCTGAGTGCTTAACCATTGTGCCACCAGGACTCCAATCTATCCTTGGGAAAAAGTGAATTATCTTTTAAATCATGGGCCTCTTTTCTTGCTTTTTCTAGATTTCACTCTTGACGATGTCCGGGACTGTGCCAAGCATGGTTTTAAAGTTCAAGGGACCATCAAAATGGTGTCAATCAAGGTGGGTGTGTCAGTGGGCCTGTGTGATGCCATTCTGGAGGAAATAGGAGGTGAGTGACAGTGGAATATGATTTCTGTATTTATAATCGATTGTCTACCTGTCCCTGTCTTTCTTTAAGTTAAAGACTGGGGATTCTGAGACATTTCAATTGAAATAATAATTCATCCAATAAAAACGTACTTGTTGTTGTTGTTTGCCATCGAGTCGGCCCCAACTCATAGCGACCCCTCCTTGGGTTTCCGAGGCAGTATCACTACGGAAGTAGATTGCCCCATCTTCCTTCCGAGGAGTGGCTGGTGGGTTTGAACCGCCACCCTTCTGGTTAGCAGTCAAGTGCCTTAGCCACTATGCTACCAGAGCTCCTAAAAATGTACTAAGTATAACAAATTAATTAGGCAGAATCCCTTCCTTCCTAGTACTCTTGTAAGGGAAGGCAAACAACTAAAGAGCAAGGAGGAGACAATGACAAGCACCAACTCCAACCTAGGGCATTAAAGCTGATTTTTTGGGGGAGGGAAAGTTTGAACAGCAACTTGGAAAATAAAGTATCAAGTTCAGCTTTTTTAGGTGGGAGAAAAAAAATCAGCAATGAAAATCTACCCTGAAGTCTGGGAGTTGGCTTGGCTAGAGGTAGAATTCTAGGGTTGGGATGGAGATGCAGAGGTTGTGGGGTAGGTAGATGAGCAGACTAGTCCTTACTAGGTAATGGGTGATATGAAGACTAAGCCATAAATCAGACAAAGCCATAATAAATCTTGTGGCAGATCCCAAATGGCAAGGGGACCAGACTTGAGGTGGGAATTGAAGCCAGAGTATAGAGCCAGGTATCTGGAAGCAGGGAACTTGGAACCAGCACAAGGGAGTGGAACTTGGAATCAACACAGGGAGTGGAGTAGGAAAGACAGGCTGAACAGCAGGCCTTCAGTTCCCTGAGTCCTTCTGCATCACAAGCAGCTCTGATTTCTCTATTCTGCATGTTAAGCTTGTGCCTAACATTATACCTGAAGAAAGATTTCCACAGCTGAAATAAAACAGCACCAACCAAAAATCAGCTACTAGTCTAGAACACTCTGCACTGTGACTGTCTTTCTGTTGGGATTGTTGTGTATTTTTTCATTTCGTGGGGCTGGGTTGCATGATGTGTCTCATACATGGAAAAGAGGGTTAAACATAAAAACTGTTTAAAGAAGACTTATAAATTCCCACCAGGTTACTAAATAGAACACCCAGCACCCCAGAAATCCCTGCCGATCATAATCCTTCCCTCCCTTTTTGAGATTACTATTGTTACTTTTTGTATAAAAACATTCTCTGTCTTTCTTTATAGTTTTTCTGCCTATCTGTGTCACTAATGAACATGGTTCAGTGTTGCTTGTTTTAGAATTTTATATGAATGGAATGTAATCTTTTTAGTATTATTTCTTTCAACGTCATGCTTGGAAGATATGTCCATGTTTTTGTGCATAACTACAGCCAGTTCAAGGAGTCCTGGTGGCGCAGTGCTTAAGTGCTCTGTTGCTAACCAAAAGGTCAGTGGTTCAAATCCATCAGAGGCTCCACTGGACAAAAGACCTGACAATCTGCTGCCATAAAGATTATAGCCTACAAAACACCATGGGGCAGTTCTACTCTGTCACATAAGGTTGCTATGAGTAGGAATTGACTCTATGGCAGACAACACTAACAACACAGTTAGTTCATTTCCATTGCTACATCGTATTTTATTACATGAATATACTGTTAGTGGACATTTGGGTTATGTCCTGTTTCAAGTAACTATAGTGGATGCTGCTATGGACATTTTTACACACTCATCTGGTACATATGTGCAAGTATTTTTTCAGGGATATATCTAGAAACAGAAATGCTGTGATGCAGAATAGACACTTTTTCCTCTTGACTGGATAATTCTAAACTGTTTTCTAAAATACTTGTACCAATTTACACATCTACCAGCAGTGTATAAGATTCACTTTTTTATGATGTTCAGATGTTTCGGATTCATATTTGAGTCACCACTTTATACCAGCTCTTTGGGTGTTGGGCACATAGATGAATTAGAGTCAATATGACTCACTGACATGACTGGGAGCTTACCGGGCAGTCCCCTAGCAACTTGAAATACTAATCATTGTATAGGAGCCACTGTTTAGTATCTACCACATCCAGGTCCAGTCTTTATGAGTTTATTTACATGTGTCATCAAATACAAAGAAGTGATACAGCTTAGAGCTTGGGCAGGGCTGTCTGGGTAAGCTCCTTCACATCTTGTGCCTAGGATTTCTTATCTGTAAGAGGAGGATCATATATATAGTCCCTATTTCATAGTGAAGATTAAGCGAGTTAATGCATGTATATCACTTAGGTACACAATAAAAGATCAATCATTATCAAATATTGAGCCATTTATTCTTTACATAGATTCAGAGGATCCACTTTGTAGGTAATGAAAAAAGAAACATCACACTGTATAAATTATTTTCCTGAGACTACAGGCTAGAAAAAAGAACTGAGATTCATGTCTGGCAAAAGTTTGCAGAGTGACTAGGGTGGAGGGTATGAACCAAGTTTACAGTCACATGGGCTCTACCACACTCCTCCCCCAGGATGGAGGTTATGTGAAAGTTATCTGACCAAGGAGTGGTGGCTTTAAAAGTAGTCAGACCTTGTTTAAAATTTGACTCTATGACCTACTAGCATTATAAGCCTGGGCAAGTAATTTACAGTTTCAGTCATGAGTTTCATCATCAGTTTCATCATTTGTAGAGCTAATGTAATGCTGGTTCAGAGAATTACTATCAGGATAAAACAAATACCTGATACTTGTCTATCTTCTATCATCTATCTATCTATCTATCTATCTATCATTTTCTATTGGCCATCATCTGTCTCTTCTGTCATCTATCTAACATCTATTTGAATCACCTATCTATTTATATCTGTGAATAGATTGATTGATCAATTGATCAGTCTTGGATAAAGTCACTCAATAACTGGAACTTAGAGATGCTCAAAATAAAATCCCTTCTTTGCCTTTCCCTGACTTGTGTTATGTGTTGTTGCGTAAGCTTCCATTTTGTGCCTTGGATCATGACTTCGCTAGAGGTAGGGATGCTCCTGGTCCACCCCACATTCCCAGGGCTGGGCTCTGTGAATATTATGGTACCATTATTGGTTGAGTTGCAATAAATTCCAAGATACTACAGTGGATGTCTCCATGACATGTCAGCTTTCCATGTCAATTTCAGATAGGAACAAGAGAAAGACTTCTGTGGAAGATTTGGTGGTCGTGGTACGAGGAGGGGCAAGTGAGCACATTACGGCCCTGGTGTACAAGGCGTTGCCGACAGCAGAACTGATGCAGGAGTGGGGAGATGCAGTGCAGTATAACCCAAGCATCATCAAAGTCAAGGTATAAGTAGCTACTCCACCCATCTGTTGCTCTATTCAGACAACAACTTCTGAGGGCTTACCATGAGCCACGCTAGAGGATACAGAGACCAGTATGACTCAGGTCATAATCTCGAGACACATACATTATAGTGGAAAATATATCTGGAGTGAACAGCTTGCAGTGCATCACTCAGCATCACCTAGAGGGGCCTCAATCCCTCTCACTTGGTCCCCCAAGTTGCTAAAGGAAATTTACTAACTGCTTCTAGCTTTCCTAAGTTAGTAATCTTAACATTTCATCAGATAATCACTCATTCAGTTATTATTCAAACATTAGTTTATTAAACCAAAAAATAATTACAAAGTCCCTGCTATATTATTGGAACTAAGTTACTAAAGGAAAACAGAGGAAGATACAAGGATAAAAAACACAGTCTATGCTGAAAAATAAGATCCATACATGCATAACTATCTTACATGAAAGGAGAATATGCCATGATAACAATGAACAGGTTTTGAGCACTTTGCCAAAGTCTTTAGGACTGCGCTTTCATCTAATCTGCACAACAGGTGTGCAAGTTAAGTATTTTTATCTCTATTTTGTGACTGATAAAAATGAAGTGTCAGGCAGGTTGTATCCATCTGTGGCTGCTCAAGAGTTTCCATTAGGTCTGACCCTGAGACCTTGACTTCTTCCCTCCCCTCCAGACTCTCCTGTGGGTTTGGTGAATGACAAATAATGATCCCAACCACCTGTCATCCAAACAAGAGGAGTTTTGCAATCTTAAACTAAAAAGACATATGTTCGAGCAGGACTGTCATACACATCAGCAATGGTTGGTCCTTGCCTGTGGGAACTTCAGCACAGGGTCCCTGTCATGTCTTACATCATCCTCTTCTTGCCATTGTCTGTGTAATCCTTGATGGTCCTGTGTCCACCCCCTGGAGAATTTCCCTTGCAGCCAAGTAGAGGAACTGAGGTGCTATAGTTCTGATGGGAAATTCTGCAGTTCCCAACCACAGTGTCTTTATTTGTGTGTCATATTCACAATTTCTGCAGAACAAGAAGGCTGCCATTCAAATCCTCTCCTCCCCCACTTGCTCAGTAGTGACACATGGGATACAGTTTCTGGCAAGCATAGAGAGGGATAAAGTCAGCCATGCATTGCAGGTGGCTGCAGAGAAATCTGGATTGGTTAATGCCATGATAACATTGGTTGGCATCACAGGTGGACATGGGAGAGAACAGATTGGGGAAAATAGATTGCTGATCTTTAGTTTTCAATGAGACATCTTTACCTGATTTTTAAAAAACCTGAGAATGAAAGGGTTACTCTGGTACTCAGATAGAATGGGTGTGCCAGCCTGGGCACTGGAATGTCAGATGGCAGGCATGTGATGTGCATATTGTGTATATGTACATGCATGTGTGTGTGTGAGAAAGAGTATTGGGGGGCAGACTTGTGTGTGTGTGTGTGTATGAGAGAGAGAGAGAGAGGGAGAGAGAATGAGAAAGAAAGAGTCTCCGTGTGTGTGTTTGGGCAGGCTAGCATGCTAAGCATCTCAAACAGGCCTTGAAAACAACCTTGGAGGTGCAGTACTTTGTCAAAGGCACAGAGACTTCTCAGCAGGATGTAGTGGAGAGTATTATACTGACAATCAACGTGGTACTAGTAAAGGGCTGCATGGGTTGAAAGGAGAAAGAGATTGGAGAATCAGGGATGTTGCCAAGAGTTTTGCAGGAATGGGAGAGGCAGGAATGCTGAGGGTTTTTATGCACCTCCCTAACCTGAGTTGGAAATACACATTCTGGGCATTCTAGTATTTGATGTAGTCTTTCTGGCAAGAGAAAAGGGCAGATGGCTTCACATTCTCTCAGAATAATTCTCTGCAGAGTCAGCGTACCAGGTAGCTGGAGTAGCTGTTGCTCTTCAGGATGGTAGAGCTCACTAAATAACCAATTCCTGATAAAAGAAAGTGTACACAAAGACTTGTGTACATAAACCAGTCTTCACGATCAAGATCTGAAACAGGATTTCTATGGAAGCCAGGTAGGCAGAGAGAGAAAAACCAAAGAAGAGTCCCTTCACATCTGTTAACAAACTTTAGACATAAAGAAATGGTTCTTTATTCAAGAAATAGCTAAGAGAAAGCAATGAACATACAAAGAGATTTTGAACACCAAACATTACATTCAAGGTGCAGAAGAAATGCATATGTCTAAAATATAGAAACAGAAGTAAATTTTAGAATGCATTTGCTTTGTGATTATAACAAAATTGAGGAAAATGAACTTATGAAATAAATAATAGAAGCTGAGAAGTTTAGACAATAATCAGATGAAAAGGGAGTGGCTGAATATAGGAAACCAAAGGCACAGTAGCAGAATTAAAATCTACATTGGAAACTATAAAGAACTGAATTGACACTGCAGAAAATTGAGTCAGTGATGTGGAAGGTGCTATAAAAGTGTTCTTATGATACAGAAGCAAAAGACAAAGAGATTAAAACAATGACATAAAAGAAATATAATGGACAAGAGTACAGAAGTAGAAATCTGAAACCCAGAGACTTCTTGAGAGACAAGATTAAATGTGAAGATGCATTAATCAAGCACATAATAAGAGAAACTTCCCTGAGCTGATTATGCAAAATGAACTTCTCATTGACAACTAGGCAAAATTAATAAAGACAAAACAATACTGAAACAGCCTGGTGAAATATTTTCCTTTTAGGAACAAATCAGTCAAACTGGTTTTAGAATTTGATAAAATACTAAGTGACTGAAGATAATGGAGTGACTACCACAAGATCTTGGAGGAAAAAAGCTCATGTCCCAGTGAGGTACTCAGTAATGGATGAAGAATCCCAAAAGACAGTCTGCTATATTCAAGGACCCAGAAATAAGGTTGCCACATTTAGCAAATGAAAATACAAAACACTCAGTTGTGGTAGTTCAGTTTGTGTATCAACTTGGCTGGGCCTGGTTGAGTGGCTGGGCAGCTGAATGTAGTATTCCCCAGGATGAGACTGGCAGTCAACTCCATGGTGGAATCTACTGTGAGCAGCTGAGTAGCTGCTTTAGGGAATGTGGTCTGCTTCCTGTATATGAGCAGAAGCCTTGGGGAATGGTCTCTAGCTTATGGAATGCTTCCACCCTGCATGCAGCCTTGTTGCTGTTCAGCAGCCTGCAATGCTCTGCCGACCTTGGGACTTACAAGAGACTTGAATTAATGGCCTGCCATGTGGTTTGGTAACATCAGGACTGTGCCTTTTTACTTGTCAACCTTGGGGCTTCTCAGTCTCAGCTGCCAGCAGCTGTCTGAGTGAAGAAAAGCCTCTAGCTCCAGTGGGCCAGCAGTTGGAGGCAGAGCCGAAGCCCAAAGCTGAGGGGCTTTCACCCAGCCCCTAGAGCCTGGCACTTTGAACTTGGACTTAAAGCCTCCAAACTATAAGATAATAAACCCTATTTGTTAAGACCATCTCATTTGTGGTATATTCTTATCAGAGCAGCACTGGATAACCAGAACACCAGTTAAATTTGAATTTCAGAAAAACAATGAATTATTTTCAGTGTATCTCCCAAATGGAGTCCTTGGGTAGTGCAAATGGTTAAGGCAATTGACTTCTAATCAAAGATTAGAGGTCCAAGTAAGCCCAGAGGTAGCTCAAAAGAAAGACCTGAAAACTTCCATAACATGTGTTCTGGTTACCTAGTGCTGCTCTGACAGGAATATACCACAATGGGATGGCCTTAACAAACAGGAGTTTATTCTTATAATTTGGAGGCTTTAAGTCTGAGTTCAAATTGAGTGCCAGGCTCTAGGAGCTGGTGAAAGCCCCTCACCCTTGGGCTTCAGCTCTGCCTCCAGCTCCTGGCCCACTGGAGCTAGAGGCTTTTCTTCACTCAAACAGCTACTGGTTGCTGAGGCTGCCAAGCCCAAGGTTGACAAGTAAAAAGGCACAGTCCTGATGTTACTAAACCACATAGCAGGCCATTAATTCAAGTCCATTGTAAGTCTCCAGGTCTGCAGCACATGGCAGGCTGCTGAACAAAGACATGGACGGGTACATGCAGAGTCCAAGTGTGCCATAAGCTAGAGACTATCCCCAAGGCTTCTCCTTATATACAGGAAGCAGACCACATTCCAAAGGCAGCTACTCAGCTGCTTGCGGTAGATCCCACCACGGAGTTGACTGCCAGTCTCATCATGGGGAATAACTGCCACCAGCTTCCCAGTCACTCAACCAGGCCTAGCCAAGTTGACACAAAAACATAACCACCACAACATATTATTGTTAGGTGCCATAGAGTTGCTTCTAAGTCATAGTGACTCTACGTACAACAGAACAAAACACTGCCCTGTCCTGCACCGTCTTCACAGTCATTGCTATGTTTGAGCCCATCATTGCAGTCTTTGTGTTGATCCATCTTGTTAAAGGTCTTTCTCTTTTTCGCTGACTCTCTACTTTATCGAGCATGATATCCTTCCTCAGGGACTGGTCCCTCCTGATAACATATCCAGAGTATGTGAGACAAAGTCTCACCATCCTTACGTCTAAGGATTTTTCTGGCTGTACATCTTCCAAGACAGATTTTTTTTTCTTCTGACAGTCCATGGTACATTCAACATTCTTCACCAACACCATATTCAAATTCATTCTTCAGTCTTTCTTATTCATTGTCCAGTTTTCACATGCACGTGTATACATGACTGAAAATACCATGGCTTGGATCAGGCACATCTTAGTCTTCAAAGTGACATCTTTGCATTTTAATACTTTAAAGAGGTAAGATTACACGATTATAGCCACTGACAAGTCTGTGAAGCACAGTTCTACTCAGGCACACGTGGAATTGACATGAGTAAGAATTGACTTGAGGACAACTGTTTTCTTTTCATTTATCTTCCACACACTGCATGGAAGATACACTGAAAAATTATTCATTAGTCATTGAAATTTAACTTTAACTGGGTGCCCTGCACTTAACCAGCAAGGCTTAGTCAAAGATTCTAT